TTGGCCGACGAGCATTATGGTGAACATGAGAGAGCTGGCAGTGGTGTCGTGTCCGCCAAACATGAATGTGTCCACATGTGACCTGACGTCCAGTTCGGACATATGATTGGGTCGCTTGAAGTGATAATTAAGTAGTGTATCGAGAAATACGAGTTGCCGTTTGGCACCGATTCTGGTCATCGCCTCATCGATCGCATCGCCAATCGATTTCCCGTTCTTATAGTTATTGTTCACATCATTATTGTTTAAGTCCTTAATCTTATCCAATATTTCTGTTTTTCTTTCTTTGATGACCTGATAAACAATGGAAGGCAACGAGAATTGAGTTATATTTGAAAGACATATAACTTCGATAAAACAAGTTGTTTACAGAATCTGTAAATCCATGTAATATACGGAGTCTTCGCTGCAGAAGACGGCCCAAAGAGCTCAAATAAAAGGTGAAATCGGGCCAAAGCCACGGCTTTATAAATCTTAGTATAGAGACCGCAAACGTACGTCTAATCGCCTCCACATAATCAGAGTTTGGGTTTTGTTGAGCCCTTACAGTCACACCCATTGCCGTCTCTGATTGAACGTTACATTTGAATTGTAAAAACAGACAATTATAAACATTTAAATGCTAATTGTTTAATACAATACCACAAATAGCATCGAGTGTGTAGTTTGTAATCAATTTTCTCATATCGTCAACAACGCCGTCGTTGTCCTCAATCTGTTTGTCAATCAATGATTGCATAATATTTTGTTGGTTTATAATTGTGGGCAAAAAGTTCTCCAAAATCTTGAAATGAAAGGCCGGAGTCAACAACTTTCGATGCGATTGCCATTTACTGCCCGTACTTTTCATTGTCACCAATAATACACAATATCTCAATTAATTTATTATCATGTACATTATAATTAAATTATAATTTATTTGGTTATAATTATCATTAATGAACTTTTAATTACTTTTTTTGCATTTATCATTAAATAATTGTAAATTTTCATTTAACTAATTGAAAATATTAAAACCCATTAACGATTTGATAACATTTTAATGACGAGTTAAATAATATCTGTTGTAATGTTAAGATAATATTTATTTAGATCATTAAATAATCACTAGATTACTAAATCTTAGTCACGAATTAGTGGGGATTTTTCAATTAGGTATATTATCCTATTTAATTTAATATACCTTTGTTGTTTTTTAATTAACTTCACGTGCCGAAGTATACAGTATATGAATAAATCACACAAACCTGGTTAACAAACCGAACCCAAGCCAAGGTCTTAGATATTTATATTCATAAGCCTTTGATATATTTGTTGCATTCGACAGTAATTCCTTAAATGTTATATGATTTTAATTAAAATTAACAAAACATATTCAATTAAATAAAGCATTTTAGTTTAGGAAACTTAGTCAGTAAAGTGAAACAAACCTCCACATTGTCTGCGTTTAACAGCACCACAACTGGATTTATTGGTCCGATCCATAGCCTAAATACACCGTCCTTTTGATATGATTTACACAAATCTATTAGTAGCCTGTAACTTTCTATAAAATAAATTTTCATATTTTATTTCATAGCACTTAAAAAGTGACTTTACAATTAAAAATTGAATACTTACCTTGAAACCAGCGCTTAGAATAGGCGGCCGAATAAAATAAATCCAAATTCCCAATCAGTATATTCTTGATGTCCGGACCCGGGATTTGGTTTATTATATTTGCATTAATTCTGAACTTTACATAACTATATGTCGCATATAATAGCAAAATATTTATTAAAATTAATACAATCAATGAATTATTAGTTTGCAAATAATCCCATATTAAATGCCAATCACTTATTGCACGAAAACTAAACATTATTTTATTAAAATATTGTTGACTGGCATTTAGTAAAACAAATCAATAAATAGTTTAATTTTTCCAAAATTTTACTATTTAAGGGACTTTTAAATTATACACAAAACTGATTTTTTAAAATTATTAAATCTATTTAAAATTATAATGATGAAAATTATCATTAAAAGTAATTTATTTATTCATTAAACATTTTCAATGGACTTATCCCTAGAAAAATCCTTTTAATAAATATTTAGTGAATATTTAATTATCTGAACATTTCTTACAAAATAACAATAACAATAAAAATAGGCTATCATTAAGTGTTCACTTATTTCATTAAATCGTTTAAACGGTTGATATTTGTTAGAAATTTAATTTTTATATTTTTTACATTTATATTTTGAAAAATAGTTATTTTGTAGTTCACGGCTATTGGTATTTGAATTGAATTTTCAATAATAATGTTAACTATTATAATGAGCTCATCATTTACTTGCCATCAATGCAATCAAATTAATATAGACATCAAAGGATGCATTTTGGATGCTTTGGTCACAGAAAGACTTAATTTTAATATTAATATACTAGTAATATTTTATTCAATGTTTTATTAAACACAACTTTAATATTTCATTTATATAATTAACACAACAAAAGCTACTTTTTTATGTGACCAAAGAATCCAAAAATCATACGTTTTGGTGTTTATAAAAATAAATATTGATAAATATTTTGCCCATAAAACATAAAGGAGAATGTTCAATTTGGGAATAGCGTACAACCGGAAAAGCCTTTGTGTTAAATTGTAAACTCAATTCCATTTTGTTGTTAAAGTCATTTTAAAAATATTTTTCTTTGTAAATAATAAATAATATTATTTTAATCAGAAAACAAATTATTAAAAAGCTAATATTGTATTATAAAAATGCTATTTAAAAAATTGATGATTGAATAATTGACAATACTTGGTAATAAATTAAAATATAATGATAGTTAATTAGTTAATTAAATAAAGATATCCATTGAAATATGTCTGTTTAATTATTAATAATATTAATTTATTATCTAATTAATTATATACTGAAGACTATCTCTCTTTCATCGTTGAATAATTGAATTGTTTTGAATACTTAAAACAAATGCAGTTTTTACCATAAAGTCCTTAATCTGGTTCAGTATATTGCAAATGATGTAGTGATCAAATGTAAGTTTTAAACATACAAACATATTTATATTTTATTAATTAAATCATAAATTAAATAAATAATGAAAAATTAAATTTATTTAAACAATGAAAAATAACCATTCGGTGAATCAATTAAACAAAACAAGCCTTTCTATAGCTCCCTATCATTTACCACCCGTTAATTTATTCAATCCAAGGGATGGCATCTTATGGCCCGCCAGACTCATAGCGGAGGCGGGCGTCGATGTCTTGGCCGACTCCCTGTCGACAGTGTCGTGGAACTCCTTCAGCGTCCTATCGGTCGTCTCGTCGTGAATATCATCTTTACTCAACTCTTGCGTTCCGTTGGACTTGCCTTTAAAGAGAGCGCTTCCCGGGAATTTGCTGCCAACGGCAACATTCCTCAGCGACCCAACCCTCATATGTATCGATTTGCGGACGTAATCGTCAACCGGTCGGCGATTCTCTTTGATTCGTCTCACCTTTGGCTTAGCGTTCGGATCCGCCAACTCCTGTATACAGTACACAATTAACACGCGGTCAATATTTTATCATTAATACTCATACATTCATTGTATGAGAGAGAGAGAGAGAGAGAGAGACTCACATTGACAATACGCGTGGGATTCAATAGAGCCAATATTTCAGTCATGGTCAGTTGGCCGCTGAAGATCTTCTTGAGCAGTCCGAGTAATCCACCATGATTATCAATACCCAATATCTTATAGAATATGAATCCGGGCACTCCCTTCCAGCGGCCATTCTTGTCCATAACCATTGGTCCGATGTATGGGATGTCCTTAATGTTAGGGATCTGTGCGGCGATGTTTTGAATGATCTTCAATATGGAGGACACAAAACCGAAGGACACACTCAGGGCATCGTCGGTACCGCCGGTCAGCACATCCAGTCCGTGACGAGAGAGCGTTCCCTATATAGACATTAATGGCTAGAATTGATAATAAATTGATAATCTGGATAACATGCTTACAATCATAACCCTAAACGGACAGATACCCATTTTGACCATGTTCATTGGGTTCAGTATGGAAGCGCCCACTTCTGATATTAAGTTTATGTTAATACCCATTGCCAGCACTTGTTTCACGTTAATGCCAACTCTAGCCAATGAGCCCGGAGTCAAATCGCCCTTTAGGTGCACTGCAATTAGGAATTCAGTTAATTGCCATTCATTACATAATTATAAATATAATTTGCATTACGTTTAAGACCACCGGTGAGGATGAGTTTGGTGTCCACACCAGCGCTGACCATCACTTTCAGATCAATACCGGCCTTATGTAGTGTCTTGGGATCTAATCCGGTGTAGACCGAGAATATCAAATGCTCGGCGTTGAGTCCCAAGTCTTGTTTGGATTTAGCGGCATAGGCTTCGATACCATTGTCGGCCAACTTCTTCGGGTCAACGCCTGAACACATATATTATATTTAAATTTAATCAAAACATTTTCAAAACACACAGAATTTGCAGTAAGAGTATTGAAAGGAGATATTCAAAGACACACACCCTTTGCGTGAAGTTTAAGAGCATTGAGTCCCAACTTTTTCAAGTCCTGATCAGTCATTTGTTTCTTATTGATACCCAATTTAAGCAGTGTATCGTCAGGAATGGCGCCGACGCCGCCCACTATGAAACGGGCCGGACATATGCCTGCCTTAAGCATTGTCTTGATATCAATACCGGCGTTCATAAATTTGATCTCATCCTCAATGGCGCCCCTCATTATGCGGTTTAATATGGAGGCCAAGTCTATACCCGCTTCAGCCAACTTGTTCTGGTTTGCGTCCAACAGACCAGATCTTTGAAGAATAACAAATTAGTCTCTCTCTCTCTCTCTCTCTCTCTCTCTCTCTCGTTTTACAAATTTATACAAAACACATAATTAAGCTAGGACATTAAATTAAACAAAAAATGTATTTAAATATTTATCGTCACATATTTTATCTGTTAACATCTAGTGCGTGGACTTTGCATTTAACATGGGTTGTGGGGCTTTCCAGAGTTCTACAATATTAACTTACATTAACCAGGGTAATTATGCGGCGGCTGCCCAAGCATTCAATCAATACAATTCAATTGGCGGTCAAGTGATCGCTGGTCTTACTGTCCGGCGCCAGGCGGAGGCAACCCTGTTTTCCAGCTAAATGTACCATAAATGTAAATTTAGTTTTTGATCATGATCTTTTTTAAAAAGTAGTTGCATTTTATACGAATTTTGCAGTTTAATAAATAACCCGTCTTCTATTAGGCTCAATTTGTATATTGTTTATATTTAATTTTTGTAATATTAAAAGTATTTGTTAACAATAACTGATAATATGTTTTTGCGTTAAACAATACATTATCTATACATTAGTCTATTTTATATTAATTGTTTATAATAAAAAATATATGAATTCTCAAATAATAAAACAGCATGTACGAATACACTTACACTTAAATTACTAGTGCAATTAATTAATTTTCAATAAAAATGTGGTACAGTATGCACATGTTAATAAATAGTACATAATAAAATCAATAAATTAAAATATAATTTAAGTATTAATACTTACTTGTTCGTATATTAATTATGATATAAAATTTAGTAATATAGGTCATTTACCTAATCAATCAATAACATAACTTAATCAATATCAAATAAAAAGTGTTATTTATCTACCAATACATGAGATGAATATCTACCAATATCTACCAATACATGAGATGAATATCTACCAATATCTACCAATACATGAGATAAATTAATTATTTAATGTACAAAGAAAAATATTAATTAATACACGGCCTGTATAGAACGAAATTTTACTATATAACATAATTAAATGACCAATGTAAAATTATTTATGGAATACGATTATGCTGAGTACACTGAAATTATTCTACTGATTTATTATAATTTGTACTTATAAACTACTGAAACACATTATTAATTGATATAGTACAAATTGACATTTACATTATTTTATTTGACAAACAAAATAAAATTTTATAAACTTTCCATTACTTAATTAATTACATGCATCAGATTAAAAAATTAATAAATGATCATGGCAAGTGTATTACTACAATAAACTTAAAAATTTTAGTATAAAAGCTAGCTGGTAAATCAAATCAAAATCATAACAATTTGCTCTTAACTAGTAACAGTAATCAAGATACTTTACTAATATACAATGGCCAAACAATTAATCGTGTTGCTCGCACTGGTAACCTACGCCTATGGTATGACAATAGGTAATGGTGGATTGGACTTGCTCAAATTCTCCGAGGGTTGGAGGGCTGACTACTACTACGACCAGATTGTAAGTGATTAATTATGCTTAAGATCAGCAATATATTTTACACCTTATACATTTTATTAATTATGTTTGATTAATTTTTGTGGACAGGGCTTAAAAACGATCGGCTACGGACACGCATGCGTGTGGCATAACAACTGCAACGATATCGGTAAAACACCACTTACCGAACAACAAGGTGTGGACCTATTGAAAAAGGATCTGGTTGAATATGAAAATTGCGTGAACAACGCCGTTCAGGGACTCAACCAAAACCAATTCGATGCCGTAAGTTTTGTTGACTACATTATCTAAATTATATATTAAAATGTTTAAAATTAATTTCTTTAATACAGTGCGTGGACTTTACGTTCAACATGGGCTGCCAGGCTTTCCAGCAATCGCAAATATTGAGCAATATTAAGGCCAAAAACTGGCAAGGTGCCGCAAATGCCTTCGCTCAATACAATGTGGCCGGCGGTCAAGTGATCGAAGGACTTACTGTTCGGCGACAAAACGAGAAAAATCTGTTTCTTAAGTAATTTCATGACATGTATATACAGTTTTAATAATTTGCATATTTACTAAAAATTATTTTTTAATTGGTTTTTATAACATTAAAAATTATATAATATTTCAGCAAGATAGATTCATATATAATTAAACCAATTTTATAATTAGCAAATAACAAGCGCAGCAAACGTACACGTAGTGACACAACTCGTTGCTATTCATTGGAAACAAATCCAAACAATAATAACCGATTGTGGGGCCGGACAGTCGGGCGGCAAACGCCTCTACCCGTAGCCTATCTATGACAGGAATAACTGGGTTTTGGACCAAATACCCGAATAACCGTCGATAGGGTCTGTGCGCCGGTTTGGCTATCCAGGTGCTCATCGTTATAACAGCTAGTGCTAAACTTACCAAGCATATATTGCATACGATTATTATTACTCTACCCAACACTTTAACGCGGCTATTGTGTAGTCCGTATACGCTTAGCAAAATGGCCGCCGTTATCACGTAGTAAACTATAAACATGATGTATTTAATCAGGTAATTAGCTTGCTGCACTTGCTGCTCCCAGTAATGGTGCATTTTAATCTTGCACATTAATAGCCGGGTGTCACTAGTCTGTAACCCATACGCTATTCGCTGGTCAACGGCTCGGTAGGTGGCGCTAAAATAAATTGTACATAGTAGAAATTGCATGAATCCGCACCAAGTTATGCCCACCAGATGCCACGTTGTGATAAGCTCGCTTGAATAAAATATTAACATGCTAATAAACTTGATGATGTTTGGATTTTGTACCAATAACATGGTATTTACAGCACCGTATATAAACGCTATAATTGTAAATTCTACGTAAACAATCTTCATCATAAATTTACGTATAAATAAACAGCTAGTTATTATTGATTTACGCTTGATTGGATCAATTAACACATGCTCAAATTGGCCATACTTTAACATATAATATTGTTTAGCGAGGTATAATTTGTCGGTTAGTTCATGATAAAGTAGCACACCGCCAATTGTGATCACCGAGATCAAACCGGTCAATAAAAGCATGTAATACAAGTAACGATTGCCCACAAATTGATCAATGTCAAATAATGCGTCCAATATAGTTGGATTAGTTATGCATAAAAAACAACCAACACGTATTGTGACAAATAGTACGGCCAGTCGTATAGCGATTGGATTTTTAAGCTTACCTAAGCTCCGTTGGCCTGCGATATACTCGTCGGACGATCGCATGACTGTTATGTAAGTACTGGAGCCCAGCCTTTCCAGACCCTCAATAGCCGCCCGGATATTGCTGTTATCGCTGACCATTCGCCGTATTTTTGCTTTAAATCGGTGTTGATTTGCATAGTATTTCGCATTGATCATTTGAATCATTTTCATTATGTTGGTTTTATATTTAAAAACAAATTGTTATTAGCAACTTCATTAAGAATATTTAATTTAATTAGTTTTATTGGTATTTATGCTTATAACAATTAAAAATACATTATACAAAACTCACATAGTACAGTGTTTCATAGTATTTTAGTTTATTGATTTAAATACAATATAATTTAACTTCTTTGCAAGTAAATATTAGATATTTTGACTTATTCATAAAATATTTGTTTAGTTTATATTTATATACTCATAAGGAAGTAATAGTAAATATAATTCCACACACGCTAAATATTAATCACGACCATAATAGAAAATGCACTATATTTTAATATAAAAATTTATATAATATTTTAAGCGCAAATATAATTAATCATATTGTTTTTGCAGTATTATCATTTTATAGTATTCCTTATAATTATTTATGCAATATTAGCAATAAGTGCATAATGATCATTATGACAATTCCTTTTTCGACCAGAAAAGCTTATTTTATGCCAATTTTAAAATTTTATTCTACTTACAAAACAAGCAAGTATACATTCTTACATTATATTATAAATTATGATATAGATAATAATTTTTAGCTTTGTTGTGTTTAAATTATGCAAATAATACGTGATAAGAAGCAAGTAAAATAATTTAGATAACTACAATTGAAATAACATTTTATGAATACATATTAAATCTCACTTATTAGTTTGGAACAAATTATAGTTTAACTTTTTATAATTTAGAATATATTACTGTTAAAACAAGTTCACATAAAATATCCATATATCACTCGGAGCAGGCTAAGTTATTGAATATTGGTTGGATCAATTAACACATGCTCAAACTGGCCATATTTTAACATGGTATTAAAATAGGAAACAAAATAATCTTAAAATGTCATTAACATATAATAATTATCAAAATTATCAGTCCAAACTCAAAGTAACGTTTAAATCTATATGATTTTTGACATTATTCACTTAAAATGATTATTCTAATTGTGATTGTCAACCAGCGTGACCACCTGTGCTTTATTTCAGAGAACTGTTCTCTATTTTAAATTTTAAATAAATGATAGAAATGTTACTAAATTTATTAAATATTTATTTATTTAGTACGTGCAAAGTTAGTTCTAATCTAAAATTATTATATAATAATAAATATAAAATTTGATTAATTTCAGTGTCGTATTGAGGAATAAAGTTTAAAAATGGTCAATAAAGAAAATTCAATTGATGTGAATAAAGTGTTGGCACCGGAGTTAAGAGTGGGATCGGCGGGAAGTCATCCTTATTGTATCGGCCTTTCATTATTTCCAATTGTTTCACACAAAAGACATTTTTTTTATAAACCAATTGTTGTTTTTCTTTTTATTTTACATTTATTTATAAGAAATCTATTGGCATTATTATTGCCAGAGATGCCTAGAAATATATACTTAGTAATGGGCGATGCTGCGTATTTTACTGGAATTAGGATACAATGCAATGCCATCATGATGTTCATCACAATAATCCCCATATTATCACAAATATTTAATTATTGTAACTATAAGCAAAATATCAAACCAACGGATTTGCGTGTATTTCATATGCTTTCGGGTTATATAACGCCTAAATCTATTGGTATTTCAGACAAACAACTCGTCTATAAATTAATTATAATTACAAAAATAACTTTCAAAATAACATCTATATTAATATCTTCTCTAATATTTCTATCGTTTGGTGTAACAATATCAACATTTCTATCAAAATGTACATTAATTGAAATAATATTTATAGCAGTCCCTCATTCAATTATCTGGACAATTACTTCAACATATGTTTACAGTATAATTGTTTGGCAGTTCATATACTATTATATAATTACTTGCTATTTAAAGTTAAAAGTAACTCTAATGAACAAAAGATTAAAATCTACTAAAAATTATATCGCAAACAAAAGACGTTATTCATTATATATAATAAAAATAATTAATGAATTTAATGATATTTATGTTGAGATCAATAAATACGATAGTAATTATTGGTCAAAGTGTTTAGCTATAATTTGGTTCACAATTAGCTCCATAATTGCATTGTGTTTATTTTTGAGTATTTATTCAAATGCCATAATTCTATTTAAAATTTTTAGCATAATTTTTGGTTTTAACTTTGTATTGATTCTAATAATTTTAGTTTATATTTCGTCTCAAATTTATATTGAAGTCAATAAGTCTTATATGTTATTAAATTTAGTTCAAAAGTTATTGTGTAACACATATTCAACAAATCTTATAATTAAGGTGAATTTTAATTTTTGTCATCTTATCTTTATAAAATTTCTTATATAAATACATGATGGTTAATAGGTACTAACATTAATTGAAAGAAACGGACTAAAAAAAATTGGATTTCATTGTTGGATATTATTTGTTATCAATTATATGAAAGGCTTTGAGGTAATAATTGAATATTAAAAAATCATATAAACGAATAAAATTTATTTGCAGATATTTTCAATGGTTTTCATTATATTTTTAAAAATAACTGAATTATCGACAATAATATAAATTATAACTGAAGGAGCATAATTATCTAAAATTATAAAGTAAGCCAAATTTTATTACTCTATTATAACGAAAATTTAATCATAATTTTTGTATTATTTATTTAATAATGCTATTAGTTATTATTCATACTGTTAGGGGAACAGTATGACCCGACGGTTAGCACATGGTTTGTCTCCCCTTAACGGTGTGTGAATGGGTGGGTCCGTAAACGGACAACAATGTACTCACACGTAGCGTGACCACCTATGCTCTATTTCAGAGAACAGTTCTCTATTTGGACCTGTAATTGGACAAAATAGACAATCGTTCTTTATTTTAAATTTTAAATAAATGATAGGAATGTTACTAAATTTATTAAATATTTATTTATCTATACAATAATTAAAGGAATTGACATTTTCTTGATTAATAATTGCCATTTTTATACACTTAACACAATAAATTTTACTTCAACATTAGTATTAAATAAACTCGATTTTTAAATTTAGAAGAAAAATTAACGTAAAATATGTATTCTCTATTTGTTTTCCATTTTAAATAGAATTTGGTCAAATGTTCTTTATTTATAAACCTAGAGGTGATCACGCTGTTGTCAACAGATCAAATATTATGAATTAAGTGAAACAATAATTGTAGTATTCATCTTTATACCAGGTTTTCAAGCAAACATTATAAATTTTATAAATCTATTTATTATCATACAATTCCGGGAGCTCCCCATATCAAGGTGAGACCCCCGCCGGGAGACGGGAGTCAGACCCTGATTCCAGGAGACTCCCGGGCAACCGGGAGCTTCTGGCAACACTAGTCGTATAGCGATAGCATTCCTAAGCCAACCGGAGCTGTGCTGACCTGCAATATACTCGTCGGACGATCGCATGACTGTTATGTAAGTACTGGAGCCCAGCCTTTCTAGACCTTCAATAGCCGCCAGGATATCGCTGTTATCGCTGACCATTCGCCGTATTTTTGCTTTAAATCGGTGTTGTTTTGAATAGTATTTGGCATGGATCATTTGTATCATTTTCATTTTGTTGGTTTTATGTTTAAAATAAATGATTTTCATTTAATAGATTAAATAAATTTATTTAATAAATATGTTTAATACAATTCAAAATACAATAGACAAAAATATTATAGTACAGTTTTTCTATTACTTTAGTTTATTTATTCAAATATATTATAGTATATGTATAATTTAAATTCTTTGCTAGTAACTATTAGATATAATTTGAATTATTCATAAAATATTTGTTTAGTTTTATTTATTTACTTATAAGAAAGTAATAATAAATATAATTCCACACACGCTAAATATTAATCACAACCATAATTGAAAAATTTATTATATTTTTTAATAAAAATTTTAATTATATTTTAAACGCAAATATAATTAATCACGTGTTTTTACAGTATTTCCATTTTATTTAGTTTACATACTGTAGATCAACAATTTACAAGTTTCATAATTCCTTTTAATTATTTATGCAATACTAAAAGTTAATGATGATTGTGGTAACAATAATTTTTTTAATCAAATAAGCTTATTTATAAATGGCAAATATAAAATTTTATTCTACTTACAAACAAGCAAGGTGCAACATTCGTATCATAATTTATGATATACATAATTATTTTTAGCTGTGCTGTTTTAAAATTATGTAAATAATGTAAAAATTTTATTGAAAACAATATAACGCATTTTTATAAATACAATTAATTAGGGTAATACAATATTTAAGTTATAATAAGGGAAATAGTATTAAAGTTATCATGAAATTTATAATTTTGTTACAAAATTAACCTTAAAAATGTTATTATTTGCTAAACAATTTGGTTGTTTTTGTTAAATTATTAATATATAAGTTTATGTGACTTTTTGAGGAAATTAACTGGTCACCCTAATTTTTGGCAAAACCTAATTTTGTATAATAGTTCTTTTTAAATGTTACACCATGGTAACTTTTGACCCACTCCTTTACGCCATATGGAGTGAGCATAGGTCTGTAGAATACAAAGTAATGCGGAAAACTACCAGCCCTTAGTGCCCTGTGAACAACTTGGGCACAATTATTAACTAGCAAGTTGTAATTCTCTGAGCCTTTGCGGGCATTCTTTAGAAACCGTGTCCACCAATGTTTCACACTTTTTATATTAATCATGTGATCAGGAATGAGCAGATATTCATCAGGGCCTCTGCCTATATAATTAAAATAAATGTGCTTGTTAAATAAATACAAAGTGTGTCTCCAATTATATAACATATTCTATAACTTATAGACTATAAGCCATTTTTCATAAATGGAACATGATTAAAAATATTTAAACAATTTCACATCAACTATGATTTTATCAACAGTGATTAAGCTGTTTTTTTGTAAATAATAATTTTTCTATAATCTGGGACACATTGTAAGTTGCATATAATGTAATTTATAATGTAAAGTTTTTTACTCTTTACCTTCATCTTCCATATCAAATAGAAACGATATTTTCTGCCCTTTAGGCCAGTGGCTAATGTAAATGTCCTTCTCATCGTCATAATCAATAATTCTGAGCGCCAAATGACCAACTTGCAAATTTTTAATTGACGGTCCCCAATAGTATATCTCTAACTGCGATTCGAGCACTGTCTATATTAGAATATAATTTATTTTGTATTGTATCAAGATAATTTTGATCATTAATCTTACCTTTACAAGGTACCCAACAGGCTGTTGAGCTTGTTTTTGTTCCTGTAACATTTGTGTCCAAGGTGACTGTTGTTGTTCTTCTTCTTCTTGATAAACCAGTTCGGTCATTTTTGCTTATGGTAATGGCAAAATGTGATCCAGCTCAATTGAATTTATTTTAGAATAAATATATAAATGTTCACTTAAATAGCGAGTATCTGCACTAGACATGGATTCGAGGCAACTGCTTGCATTACCCTCATATATAAGTTACAACCATTCATGACCTTGATTATTGCACGTAGACAATACTGGTATTGCATATTTTGTTTATATATAGTTGTGTTAAATAATGTGGACGAATATAAATAGTGTGAAATTATAATACAGTATATTGTTTATAATAAACACTTGAGACAGTTCTTGTCAGTAAATTTAGAAGTTAAGTTATAAATTTATAAAAGCAAATTATTTCATAATTCTAGTATATATATTTTATCATATAACATGCTCAATTAATTATATTCAAATGTTTACAAAATTAAATTTATTGCAAAACTAGTTAATTATTAAAACATGAAATAACCAACTTCAAATTTGATTTTATTCACTAATAAAAGTTATAATAAAAATTTAATAAACCGTATTGTGGACAAATAGAGAATGTTGTATAGTTATTATGTAAGTTGTTTTTAATTAGAATATATAGTAATTGTTATAAATAATAACATTACTTTAATTAACGTAATTTAATCAATATAATTAATTTATGTTTTATTTTTCATTTATTAAGATAATTCAAGTATTTAAAATAAACCAAGCTAATTATATTTATTATTTATAATATCGAATTTGTTATACTTAAAACTTTTTTCAAAATACAATAATAAATCATTAATAATAATATTTTCAAAATTATTAGTAATCAACATGCCATTATTTAAATATAACCATTATAAATTTAATACAATAATA